GGAAATCAATAATATTCTCAAGAGAGTCTCGTCTGAGTGTAGTATCGCGTATCAACTACTTCGGGATTACTCCCTCATAGTCATTGCACTACATCCTAAAAGGCCAAGTGGGGTAAAAGGTAACTAAAAGTCCTCAGTATCAAAGGCTCATAGGTTGAAAGTAGTAATGTTTTCACGAATACTCGTTCAACAAAACTAACTCTCAATAGGGCCTCCACTGAGTGGTGGTTTCTCAAGTCAGCTTGGTCGGGAATCAACTCCCTACAAGCCTTCTTGAATATACCGCCATCCTATCATAAGTGCGCTCAAGTACGGGTATAATACTATCCTTACCACTCAAAGTAACAAACCTGCATACAGAAAAACCCAAGCACAGACAGATATATATATACAAATATATACAAATATAAAAGCAATTAAACATATAACAAACACAAATATAAACAAGGTGGGCTTAACCCTCTTAGGGGAAGTTGTCCCCAGTGAAGTCGCCATTTCTGTTGCAGTGAGAATCGTGATACCAAGCTATTGATTAACTTGAATATTTAATTCTTAAATTCACAACCGGACTTTAATTTATCCAAAAAGGAAAGGTTTAAAGAAAGAAAAACCTATAAAAATGCAAAGCAAAAGGCAAGGCCTAAAGCTAAGCAAAGAGAGATCTAAAGGTTCGGGGTTTGGTTATGCATAGGGTAGGTATTTCACATCCTAAACATCTGTAGTACTCTATAGGAGCCTCTTTTTGATATTTGTGTTTGCTAAAGTTTTCTTGCTAAGGGTAAAGTGCTAAGGTAAAAATCTAAAGTATAAAAGTATGTACAAGTTTGCTCGTGAAGACATCGTATCTCGTGCCTACGTATCCTGACGGGAATGAAATCAGAGCAATCGTAGTTCCCCTAGCTAGGGATGGGGAATTCTTGACTGTGGTCAAGTCTCCAAAGGGAAGTAAGCATTCATAGTGAAGTACTTACATGGAGTGTGGCGACTCCTCTTCTAAGTTAAGATGATTAAGGTAGAGAATGTCCACGGTGGGGCACTAAACATGAGTACGGCGACTCAAATCCTAAGGCTAGGATAAAGGGAGGTAGACGATGTCCGCGGCGGGACGGTAAACGTGAGCACGGTGGCTCAGATCCTAAGGCTAGGATGAAGGGAATGATATCCACGGCGGGACGGATTAAAAGTGAGCACGGAGGCTCAAATCCTAAGGCTAGGATGAAGGAAAAGAATGTCCACGGCGGGACGGTAAACATGAGCACGGCGGCTCAGATCCTAAGGCTAGGATGAAGGGAAGGATGTCCACGGCGAGACGGATTAAAAGTGAGCACGGAGACTCAAATCCTAAGGCTAGGATGAAGGAAGAGAATGTCCACGGCAGGACGGTAAACATGAGCACGACGGCTCAGATCCTAAGGCTAGGATGAAGGGAAGGATGTCCACGACGGGACGGATTAAAAGTGAGCACGGAGACTCAAATCCTAAGGCTAGGATGAAGGAAAAGAATGTCCACGGCGGGACGGTAAACATGAGCACGACGGCTCAAATCCTAAGGTAGGATAAAGGATTAAAGAGTAATAACAATCAATGTCAAAGTGATAAATGGTGAAAATATGCATTAACACGAGTAATTAGAAAAAAGAATCACTTAAAAAGGATTTAAATTGAGAAAGTTATGAGTATTTGAAATTGTGAAGAAAATATAAAAGGAAATAAACAAGTAATTAAAGAAAATGCATTAGGTGGTTGTTGAACCCAGCACCCTTGGTTCACCAATGTAAAGCTTCACCACTGAGCCATATGTGCGCGTGTGGATATTGAAATGGAAGAGAAGAACAAAATGATAAAACATGGAAAAATATAAGAAAACCAAAATTATTGATCCTCCTCAGGTCAGGAAGCAAGGCAAGGCGTTTTAAGGGCAAGGTTTCTACCACTGGGGTGGCTGTACATCCATTGATTATGCCACCCCAAAATAAAGATAAGCCATCAATGTGTGATTTCCTGGGCAAAGCAAAACCAAGTGAAAACTCAAAACGGTTTGATTCACATTTTCTTCAAAACTCATCCAAATTGAGTGAAATAAAAGTCAAAATTGCTTGAATTTTCATGAGGAAGATGATGGTGAGATTTGTTTTTCAACATGACATGCACAAATGAAAACACGAATGCTCAGGCAAATGGATACTTGGAAATACATAATAACATTAATCGTTCATCCCCCCAAGAGTGCTACGTATCAGAGCGACCAACGACCTTAAACGAAAAGCGACACTCTATTCAGGGTTACCTGCAAATTATCACCAACGGAGGTAACATACAACGTAAAGGGTGAGATATCAAAATTATAACATAAGGCATGCTAAAATTCATGTTAGAATCATGTCACAACATTATAATTCTCGCAGTTCTCCAAATATTATCACAACGAACTACCAGGAAATTCATCATTCATATTCGCAACAATTTGCAAGAAAAATTCAGCAATTCATCATTACTTGCAAACACATAATGACGCGACACTATGCGACTCAATTATGCATATGCATGTGGTACCAATTTGGAGCAAAACTCCACAACCAAATCTATCTGCCATTATAGGCCGCCAATACAGGCACAACCAACGCCAATACAGGCCAACCAGGATGATATGCAATGAGATGCATCTATTATGGACTACAACCCAACAAAAACAACCACTTAACAAGGCATTAAGCCTACAACCAAATTGTCCATAACCGGAGCATCACAATTTCATACGAATCATGCAACCACAACTTTCAATCTAATCAAGTAAGGACACAATAACAACTTCCCAATAATTTTCATATAGAACTAATGACATAAAAATACTTTTGCAAAACACCGACAGGCAACATCCCTAATATTTACCAACCGCACAGAAACTAACCCCGTGATTCAATTCCCTACATGAAATTGATTATACCCATAGTTATAGAATTGAACCCCATCCTTACCTTTGGATTGAGGACAACTCTAAACTCCTGGTTCCGGTTTGCTCTCCGGTGACTCTTCTGCAACTACCTTGAATTCTCTCCGGCGGTTAATTCCTCTACTCTTAATTTCCCCCAGCCACGTTCCTTTTTCCTTTTGCCCCTTCTCCTCCACCTTTTTCCTTAATTTTGGTTCTGAGCAGTGTATCGTGTTTTTCCTCTTTTCCCCCACAACTTCTCTAATAACTCCCCTATTTCACTTATTCCATCCACTAATAATAATAATAATAATAATAATAATAATAATAATAATAATAATAATAATAATAATAATAATAATAATAATAATAATAATAACAATATTGCTACTAATTATTAAATTATCATCATTATTAATTATATTATATTATTATTAGACTCTATATTTTATTTAATGATTTCCTATACTTTAAGGACACCCACTAACGCTCTCAGACACACTCCCACATAAAGGCACACCAACAATTCATAAATAATTTAATTTAAAATGAACGGGTGTTACATGTTAAGCTCTCAAAGTCAATCAACACACACTTTATATCCCACTTGTCGCACTGCAAAGTTATGCGCATGAGGCCATTGATGTGAGGAATGATGTTGACGATGTTTCTACCAGAAAAATTGATTTCAGGTTGTGTCTCCTTCTCAACGTTTGGTTTAGAGAAAGACTCCCCACCTCAAGCAAAACCTCCCATAAACGAGTGCACATGAGTTAATAAGTCTTGTGGTGCCTCGTTCTGCCACCATGTTAAAGAAGACGACATTGGTAACTAATGAATGAAAGGTGAATGTGACCCAAATTAGTTTTACTGAAGTCCCACGAACGATGCCAATTGCACTAGCTAAAAAAGTATAACGAGGGGGTAACTTTGTTTGGGTAGGGATATTTGAGGTTTTAGAGTGTTTGAGTGTATTAAGAGCTCGCCTAAGTAAGGGTAGTGAGAGCTCTAGTGACTTTTGTGAGAAACGTTCATCATCCCTTTCCCATTCTCAATTCGGAGTATATATAAAAGATCTTTGAACTAGAGATAAATAGTTAGGAGCGGTTTCCATTAGCCTCCAAAACGTGAAATAGATAAAACAAATTCTCCGTCCATCGTGGAGGAAGCTAGTATCCCTCATTGACTAATTCTCTAGACTATTATTCTCAAACCACCTCATAGTCACGTGTGACAAGTGGTGCGGACCATGAGTTTCATTCCAAATCCTACAGACGGTTCATCTTAGTCGATCTAATTCAATTGGACGACTTAAAAATCTATTTTAGACGTTTGCACATCTATATCCATATGCATGAAATATCCTAACAAAATTATCCAAGTTGATATTCTTTATAATATTACTCATTCAAAATATTTTGGATGTTTATACTTTTGGATTAGTCTAACACTTTAATTTATAATTTTCATATATTACTTGTTGTTACTAAATAAGAATACCTTTTAATCATCTTAAAAGAGTATTAAAATTTGACAAGCGGATGGTAAGTCCCACGTGGCATGCCACGTAGATTTTAGTATATGCATAACGACAAGACAAAGCAAGATGGCTTTCTTTCTATCTTTCTCTCTGTCTTTCTCCCTCAAAATATTGATTAACGTATTGTTGTCGGGAGTTCTTATGTTTTATACTTTCGTTCTGGTTGTTGTTGCAGAACATAGAGAGAAACAAATTCATAAAACATAGAAAAAAAACATGAATGAAACATTATGACATAGAAACAAACATAGAAACAGCTCTAAAAACTTCGTTACAACTTATTTTTCACTTCTTCACTTCATTTTCCTTCTAAATTCTCCATTTCCAATTTCGAATTTCTCATTATCAATTTCTTTTAATAATTATTATTAATTATTAATTATCATCAATTGTTATTATCATCTACATTCCCTATTCTATTATTCAATTTGGGGCAATTTCTGAGATCTACAAAACGGTGCGTTTTGTTCGTTACACTGAGAATTCCGGTTATCGGTTTGGATCCGATCGGGGAAGTAACAGCGCCATTGGATGGCGCTGTTCCGAAGATTATTTTACCGGAAGCCGCCGGATCGTCTTCTTGAGATCTCTGAGAGAGTCTATGGTATGTTTTTTCTTTTCAAATCTCAAATTTTCAATTTTTGAATAAATAATGTGTTTTTTTCTCTCTCTTGTTGTTGCTTTTGGTGATTGAGCTACTGAGAATTGAAGTTCTAAAGAATTTCTTTGATAATGTAATGTAATGTGTTACTATCTATGAAGCATTTGACTCGAACCGGTAATAATTTGAGAAAATTGAAGTGATTGAATGAAATAGCGTAATTTGAAGTGTTGTTGCTATGTCGATTACTGTTAGTTAGAACAATGTGGATTTTTTTTTGGTTATTTAGTTCTTCCGGTAATGATTCACTTCAAGCTTCATCAAGTTGACAAGTTTGGTGTTCTTGTTATGTGTTTTCTGATTGATGGTAAAATTTGGAATCGAGTTAGGTCTTTCTTTTTTAAGAGAAAAGTACTAGGTTGTTCAAAGTGCGGGAAAATGTATAACCATGAAATGATGAAGGGGAGCTTAGTAAGTGTTAGATTTAGCTTTTGAGTCATCACTTTTCTTTACAAGTACTTTTTTAGCTGAAAGGCTTTTCCTTTCTGTGTTGGATTAAGGTAATTGTCGTTTGTTTGTGCTAAATCCTTATGTACTGGAATAAATTGTAGCGAATACTGGAATGGGATACTGGGGGTTGAATTTGAAAATATTTGCTAAAATAGAAGTATTTAGAGATGGTGGTGAAGGTGATTCATCAGTTGAGGGTTTTGGTTGAAAAACTAAGGAAGGTTGATTTTAGGTCGGCTTTGTCTTAATATGAACTCTTGGAAGAAGTGTTTTGAGTGAAACTAATTTGTTTATGCTTTATTTGGATGGAGGATTTTGGAGAAAAAGGGAAGGAAGGATAAAATTTTCACTTTTAAATTAAGAGTTATATTAACCCGATGTTTAGAATTGCAGTGGACAGGCCACCTAACACACATCCAGGCTGAAGCGATATCTAGCTTCCTAAAAGTCACTTTGAACTAGCACCGGGACGTGAGATTTCAATTGCAAATGTTAAAATAAAGGAGTCCTAAAAATCTTCCATTTTTTTTTGGAAATTTATTAAGTTAGAGAATCTTACATAGAATGAAAATTTTACTCTCTTTGTCCCTTCCCTGCAAAACCATCTATTTTAGGAAATTTTGTATATGCCTTGCCTAGAGTTACTTTTGCTGCAATAGAGTAAACTGTTAAGAAGTTGACACCTTGCTCTTGTGATTAATGTATACTAGGCTTGGTCTTCTTGAGCAGTTAGCTTTTCTTTGACAAACTCATTTACACCGCGATCAGTATCTGTTTTCTCAACTACTTATTAACATAAAATCCAAATAATGAATAATGAGAATGAGAATAAGTTTTGAGCTCTTACTCTTGTATTTTGAGAATATTTAAATGTTCTTCTATTTGATGCAGTTTTTGATTGCTGCTTCTCTACGGACGTCTTGGAAGAAGATGAGTACAAATTGTATATGGGGGGAATTGTAGCTCAGCTACAAGATTACTTTCCAGATGCTTCTTTCATGGTTTTCAATTTCAGAGAAGGGGATAGGCGCAGCCAAATTTCAGACATATTATCTTTATGTGACATGACAGTTATGGAGTACCCTCGGCAATACGAGGGCTGTCCACTTCTTCCTCTAGAGATGGTTCATCACTTCCTTCGATCCAGTGAAAGCTGGCTGTCTTTGGAGGGGCAACAAAATGTGCTTTTGATGCACTGTGAAAGAGGGGGTTGGCCTGTGCTGGCATTTATGTTAGCCGGTCTTTTATTGTACCGAAAACAATATAGTGGGGAGCTGAAGACTCTTGAAATGGTCTACAAGCAAGCACCCAGAGAACTTCTCCAGCTTTTATCTCCTTTGAACCCACAACCTTCTCAGTTAAGATATCTTCATTATATTTCCAAGAGACATTTGGGTTCTGAGTGGCCTCCGTCAGACACACCTTTATATTTAGATTGTTTAATCCTAAGAGTTCTTCCATTATTTGATGGTGGGAAAGGTTGCAGGCCTGTTGTAAATGTTTATGGTCCGGACCCTTCAAATCCTGCCAATAGAAGTTCTAAGCTTCTTTTCTCAACTTTGAAAGTCCAAAATCATGTTCGCCACTACCTGCAGGTGATGTAAAGTTATGCTATTCATACTGAATGTGAATTAATTTGATAGAAAGTCTGCTTAAGAAATTTTAACCACAGGCAGAGTGTATGCTCGTGAAAATTGATATTCATTGTCGTGTTCAAGGGGATGTCGTTCTTGAATGCATACATTTAAGCGAAGATTTCGTTCGTGAAGAGAAGATGTTTAGAGTCATGTTTCATACTGCATTTATTCGGTCAAATATTTTGGTGCTGAGCCGTGATGAAATCGATATATTGTGGGATACAAAGGATCAGTTTCCCAAGGATTTTAAATCTGAGGTAAGTTGTTGTTATTCTTATGTCAAAGTCTTTTTTTTAAGTCAGTAGGAGATGATTACATACTCATCTCTGTATCAGGTGCTTTTTTTGGATGCTGATGCTGTTATACCTAATCTAACCACAGTCAATGTGAGTGAAGATGAAAATGAGACAGAAAGCGGTTCACCTGAGGAATTCTACGAAGTGGAAGAGATTTTCAGCAATGTAATTGATGGACAGGATTCTCCAAAGTTTCGTCAAAATGTAGTAGATTATGGAAGCCATAAAGATGTCTGGAAAGAGTATTCAGATCCTCTTACTTTTCAGGATTCTACGCCAGATGATGGGATTAACCAACAGGTTGAATGGACAGATTCTGGTATTAATGAGGTGAAAGACATCACTGTTGATGATGTGAAATACAAGCTTGATGAGCATGTAGATTCAGATACTCATGCAGTGAAAGATATTGCTGTGGATGGTGGAGAAAATAAGTTAACTTCCAGTGCTGTTACTTTTGATATGATGGAAACCCTGGAGAGACAGGAAGACACTTTGGATGTGCATGATGAGTTAGCAGTTATGCAAAACAATTATGATGAAGAAATCGATGCAACAGTTAAAGAATTAGAACCTGAGGAAGGGCAGCAGACACATGATCTTGCCAGATCAGTATCTGTTGAAGAGAAACAACTTCCTTCGGACTCAAAGCCAGTGGGAGACGGAGTTGCAGAAATGCAAAAGGCTAAACAGAAAGAACCACAGGGATTTCAGGAAAAACAAGCAAAAGAAAATGCATCAACTAGGTGGATTCCTTCTAACAAAGGTTCTTATCAAGATTCAATGCATGTTTCATATCCACCAACAAGGCATAATAGTTCACCACCTGTTCTGTCAAATTCTACCTCTGCAAAGGAGAAAATGACTAATGCCAAAGGAAGACGTGTTTCCAGTTCGACAAATGACCTGAAAAGTTGTAATGGGGACAATTCAAAGTATTTAGAAAGCATATGGGAAATTGACTCAAACGCCCAGCTATCATCATTGATGCCAATTACAGAGTCATCTCATCAGTCAGCTACTCAAGCACCACAGTTGAGCACTGATCAAGTGCTACAACCTCATCTCCCCACTCTCCCTCCACCCCCACCTCCAGGCATATCACCATCTTCTTCCTTGGACGGTAAAGTGTCTACGGTACCGCAACCGCCGCCTCAACCACCTCCACCTTTTTTGTCAGGTTTTGGTAAGAAATATAAAGAGACGGACTTACAAGCTGCAACTCATCCTCCTCCACCCCCACCCCCACCTCCTCCTCCATTTTTTGGGCAAAACAGAGGGAGCTCATTACCTCTTTCTACTCATAGGAAGCCCTATTGTTCAACAATTGGTGTAGTTGGAGAAACTGGCGGTGCTTTACCTCTTTCAACTCCTATAGTTGGAAGTGTAATTACATCAAAAGTTTCTAAATTAGTTGATGCAGTCTCTCTTCTCATTCCTCCACCACCACCACCTCCACCCCCTTCTTCTCTCCCCCTAAAATATGGAGTTACATCCATTCCTCCTCCCCCACCTTTGCCTTATATGGATAGAGCTCCACCACCCCTTCCTCCTATAACGCCAACATTACTTAACACTCCACTACCACCACCTTTAAGTAAATCTCAACCTCCACCTCCACCACCATTACCTCCTACTCCTCCTGTTGTATATAAAGCCCTACCACCATCTCCACCACCACCACCTTTTTTTCTTAAAGCTCTATCACCCCCACTTGCTATTAGTATAGCTCCACCGCCTCCACCTCTTCCTCATTCGAGTGGAGCCCGACCCCCAACTCTTCCTTCAACAAGTAAAACGCAACCTCCGCCACCACCACCTCTTCCTTCATCAAGCGAGGAACCTCCACCACCTCCACCTCCTTCAATGTCTAACACCTCACTACCCCCATCCATACCACCACCACCACCACCACCACTTCTTCCTCTATCTTATAGAGCACCTCTACCACCACCTCTTCCTTCAATGTCTAAGGCCCCACCCCCCCCACCCCCACCATTCTTTGGAGCTGCACCATCTTCACTTCTTCCTAGACCAAGTGGAGCACCTTCACCACCACCTCTTTTGTCCAAGGCTCCACCATTCTATGGAGCTCCACCACCACCACCACCCCTTTTTTCATCAAGTGGAGCACCTCCACCACTATCTCCTTCATTGTCTAAGGCCCCACCACCCCCACCTCTACCATCATATGGTACTCCACCCCCACCCCCACCCCCACCATATCTTCCTGCATCAAGTGGAATACCTTCAACACCACCAACTCCTGCAATGTCTAAGGCCCCACCATCCCCACCTCCACCACTCAATGGAGCTCCACTGTCACCACCACCACCACCACCACCATATCTTCCTGCATCTAGTGAAGCACCCCAATCACCACCAGCACCACCTCCACCTACACCTCCTTCAACGTCTAAGACCCCACCACCACCACCTCCACCATTCTATAGGGCTCCACCACCACCACCACCACCACCACCACCATATCTTCCTACATCTAGTGGAGCACCACCACCACCACCACCACCACCACCACCACCATATCTTAATGCATGTAATGGAGCACCACCACCACCACCATCACCATATCTTCCTGCATCTAGTGGAGCACCACCACCACCGCCGCTGCCTTATCTTCCTGCATCTAGTGGAGCACCACCACCACCACCTCCCCCATTTTATGGAACACCACCACCACCACCACCCCCTTATTCATTGTCTAACGCCCCACCACCCCCACCTCCACCATTCTATGGAGCTCCACCACCGCCACCACCTCCAATGCATGCAACACAAGCACCACCTCCTCCGCCACCTCCGGGTGGTCGAGGCCCACCTCCTCCTCCACCTCCAGGTTTTCAAGGCCCACCTCCTCCACCACCTCCAGGTTTCCGAGGCCCACCTCCCCCGCCACTTCCAGGTGGCCAAGGCCCACCTCCTCCTCCACCTCCAGGTGGTCGAGGCCCTGCTCCACCACCGCCTCCTGGAGCTCATGCACCTGGTGCTCCCGCACCTCCTAGGCTTCCTGGTGGTGCACCCCCACCACCTGGGGCTGATCCAAGAGGTAGAGGGCGTGGACTTGCACGTCCTACTGGTGCAGCGGCACCTCGACGATCCTCATTAAAGCCTCTTCATTGGAGTAAGGTAACAAGGGCATTGCAAGGAAGTTTATGGGAAGAATTACAGAGACATGGAGAAACTCAAATGTAATTTGACATGTTTATTATTGCAAGATTTTTATGTCTTTTCAATTTGCTATAATTAATCACGTCATTCATGCTTCCAATTTCCTTCTGGTTGTAATGATCGCTTTTGCAATCTATCTTAGTGGACAAGAGTTTGACGTTTCAGAGTTAGAGAAGCTTTTTGCTGTAAATGTTCCAAAACCTGCTGCTTCTGGTGGTAAATCTGGAGGGCCGGGCAAATCTGCAGGATCCAAACCTGAGAAAATCACCTTGGTATTTTTCTGTATATTATCTTTGTGAGATATGATTTGATGGTTTCACTTGCTCTTTCCTTTTGGTATTGTAGCTCACCATGATTTGTAGTTATACTTCACAACAATGGTTGCTATGTATAAGGCTTTCTTCATATTAAAGTTGGAATTAAATACCACTGTTTTGAATGCATAATAATTTGTTCATTAAAGAAGTCATATTCACTTTGATCTGGCGTGAGTGATTAGGTGTTCGCTCTCTAATTGTGAGGAAACAAACGTACATTTTTCTTTAGTTTTATGCCAAGGAAAAGATTGAGCATTCCTTAGTACAAATAGTGTTGAACTTGGATGACTATTGAATTTGTCTCTTGGAAATTTTATTTTAATGTTTTCATGATTCATCGTTTTCTCTTCTATGTCGTTGGCGTACATAATGGTGCATACTTTAGTTGTTACTGCAAATATACATTCTAAACCCATTGACTTGATATTTGTTTGGTAATTCCCAAGTATCTGATAAAGTATTTTTGAATTTGTATACTTTATTATAGGTTGATTTAAGGAGAGCCTATAATACTGAAATTATGCTTACAAAGGTTAAGATGCCGCTTCCTGATATGATGGTAAGTTGGCACTTTGAAATTTCTTAATTCATTTGAACTATTTTTAAAGTATAAATATGCCAGCTTGGATTTTTCAGTAAAGCATACTATAATGAATGATAGTACTTTATTTTGCATGGAATATAAATATAAATTCTGGGAACGTTATTTCGAAGTTGTGTCTGTTAGACATAGTGACGGAGACAAAGGAGATAGATTTTGTATTAGGTGGATGAAATGGAGATTTTGAGTTAAGTGTTTCTTCTAATGAAAAGATGTCTTTGTAAAAATAATCTTCCGCATAGCCAATAGCCATGAGACTGGCAATACTTTTATGCTGCTGTACTGAATGTTGGGTGATTAAGTGCCGACAAGAGCATATGCTGCTATACTTGTTTTATGAATTACAATGATATTTGTTTGGTCCATGTAGACAATTTCACCTAGTGGAAAATGGCTTTGTTGTTCTTGTTGCATTCACATGATTCTCAAAATAACTCAACTTTTTCAAACTTCTCAAATCTCCACCCATATCCTTTTCAATTTTCTGACTTCATATTTTGAAATTAATATTCTCAGGCTGCAGTACTGGCTTTGGATGACTCAGTATTAGATGTTGATCAGGTGGAAAATCTTATTAAATTTTGTCCTACCAAAGAGGAGATGGATCTTTTGAAGGTGAGGTGCACGCACTTATACATGATTCTTACATCTTTTTTTGGCGATTAAGTTTTCTCATTTCTGGCATCTGCTGTTACTATGAGTTGCATCCATTTACTTTGATTTGTTTTTTTTTTTCCTATCTAAGTTGTGTTCATATTGATTATGAATATTTAGGCATATACTGGCGACAAGGAGAATTTGGGAAAGTGCGAACAGGTCTGTGATTGATTTCTTTTGACCAAAGTATTATGTAGTAATTATACAAAGAAAATGTCAGCATATAGAACTTATACTTGATTCCTTTTTTGCCATATCTATCACTGATTCTTGTGTTGCTTCCTTCAAAATTCGCGTGAAGGGTGATTGAGCTGTCCCGAAAACTGTAGTTTTCGTAGAATGTATTAATGATAGGATAAACTACTCATACTCTGATTTAAGAATAACATTAAAAGTAGTAAAGATAAAACCTATTAAACTTGTCTGGATTATCCGACATATGTCGTATAATACGAGTGTCCGACACCGATGTGTGTCGGACCACGACACCTAATTCTAGAGGTGTTTGTGTTTTTTAGGATAAAACTATCTGGTGCAGCTTATTTCTTTGGAATTCACTGCTCACATTAAATTCTGGAAGTCCAGTGAGAAGTACAAAGACACTAGGTATCCTGCTACCATTAGATAGGAGTAGATTCATTGTGAGAAACCAATTGCCTGAATGCAAATTGAGAATACTGTTTTTTAATTGTCAGCTTTACATAAATGAATCAAGTTCATGAAGAAAGGTATTTCATAGGTCATGCCGTGACATGATTACAGTTTGGTTGCTGATGCCTGGTGGCATGTGAAAGAAAAAGTTGTTTTGCTCTTATTAATAATCTCCACCTTAGTATGTATACATCGGATTACAAATAAATCATTTTGATCTCTGTTAGCTCAATAGCCCTCTTGTCAGTTATCATATACTTATATACGTCAGTAATATTTCAGTTCTTTATGGAGCTGATGAAAGTGCCACGAGTTGAGGCGAAATTAAGAGTGTTCTGTTTCAAGATTCAATTTCAGTGTCAGGTTTGCTGTTGTCTGAGATAATTTTCTTAATTTTTTGGATATTTGGTTTCTTGCTTTCCTTATCTTTATTCCACTTTCTGCAGATTACAGAGTTTAATAAGTGTTTAAACTTAGTGAACTCTGCATGTGAAGAGGTACTTTGCTTATGAATCTAATAAACTTTTTGTTGTTTGTATCTTTTTGACCTTGTAGCCGACCCCACTTAGTGGGATAAGGCTTGGTTGTTGTTGTTGTTGTTTTATCTTTCTGACCTTGTGTGTCTTGTTTTATAGGTCCGAAATTCAGTCAAACTGAAGGAGATTATGAAGAAAATTCTTTATTTGGGTAATGCATTGAATCAAGGAACAGCAAGAGGTATGTCTTTTTTAGTAATCGAAGTGTCTTTCTCCTTTCATTTTTTCAGTATAGGAAACACATAAAAATGCTAGGTCTCTCTTTAACAATTATATAGTCATTTGCCTTTCCTCTTGTTAGCAGCAGACAAACTTATAGGCGTTTTTATTACATATGATATTGATGTGAAACGTTTCCACTTTCTACAGGATCTGCTGTTGGATTTAAGTTAGACAGCCTTTTAAAGCTCACTGACACTCGTGCTTCTAACAGCAAAATGACACTGATGCATTATCTTTGCAAGGTACAAGTCTAAGTTGCAATAAATAAAGATATTATTTGGTGGCATAACTTTCTGGTTTTTCTTTTTCATTTTAAACTTCAGGTCCTAGCTGAAAAGTCTCCTGCACTCCTTGATTTTCACCTTGACCTAGGTAGCGTAGATACTGCCTCTAAGGTACTTCACCTTACTACCATGATTTTTAGGTGTGATTTGACTTTTCTCTTTGTATTTGTAAAGAACACCCCCTTATGTCTTTAATGGTTTTCGAAATGGTGCGCTTGTTGTTCATATTATGGTTTAACTCATACGCTGGGTTGCACATGCTTAGAAGGTCACTTATGAAATGATCATTATGAAACAAAAGAAGAGAGATTGAATGTACTCCAGTTAATTTTGTGAAGGGCATCTCTTTTGCAAACTCTGAAAGTTTTTTTCAAATTGCAGAGACATGCATGTTGTCTTAGTTTCCTGTTAGAGCACTAATGATTTACTGTTCACCCATATTTAAATATTTTTTAAAAATACATGTTATTCTTAGTTTTTGGGACTGATAACACAATCCCACAAAGCAGACTTGTAAGGTGAGGGATGTCTATAACCACTATTAGGCCATATCACTATCTCATATGAGACTCTCAACACAGCCTAATGCTTAGGACTGAACATTTAGAGTGTAATGAAGTGGCATGACATCGGATTCCTCCCCAATGGAATGGATCTAGTGTTGTCTAGTATCGGCTATGGTGGTTATCAATGGTGGATTTTTGGAAAACTGATATGGCTGATTTGTGAAGGATGGCGGTGCACGGTACCATACACGAGTATGGCAGCATCATATGTCTGCCGGTATGTCGGATTTTTGGATTTCCGCATGGTCTGCCATCCGCCATCGATAACCTGAGTGTATCTAAGATAGTCTCTATTGCCATCTAGAATTTGGGTTGGACCTACCTTTGGTACATGATTCTTCATACTTATATTGTCTTTACTCAGCCCATTGTCAATCATTGTGATACTTTCACAACTCCACATTGTAGTTTACTACAATCTCCCCATCACAAAATTGTGATCTGTAAGTTGAGGAAGCTTTGTAAGCTCTTATTAAGCACTATCTATAGCCAATGGAGATTTGCATTGTTAGCCAAAAGAAATTGCTGTTGATACCGACCAACTATCAGTATTAGTTCATGGGATTGCAATAAATATTGTTTGTTTATTTCTAATCTTGCAGATACAATTGAAGTCATTAGCAGAAGAAATGCAGGCAATTACCAAGGGACTAGAAAAAGTAAACCAGGAGCTTGCTGCTTCTGAAAGTGATGGCCCAGTATCTGAAGTTTTCCGTAAGGTGTTTAACATTTTTTGTGTTTGTTGATAGATTCTTCATTATTATATCACGAAAAACACATAATAAAATGCAAAGAAATTTCTCCAAACATAATTCATAAACGGGTTTTTGTGTATCATGAAGAGGGACATTGTTATTATTTCTATGTCTATCATAATTAATTAATTCAAGTTTACAGTCAAGCCTCGGGAGTTCTAGTTCAGATCTGTGGATTAAGGGCCTGGTAGATTTTTCTCTTAAATTGATGTCTTCATTGTACTTGATAATTCCGAATGCAGTTTTTCTCTGAATCTTTTGATTTGTAAAATGATGTAGAAAATTATATTATTTTGAAATGTCAAACCAATGGCCAATACAATTCTTATTTTATACCCCTTTCCCCTTATAATTATTGATATCATTGTTCCAAGAACCACCCTATAATTGGCAACTTAACCTAGAGAATAAAGATAAAAGAATAGGAAATAAACTCCTTGCCCTCGAACATAATGCTTGCCCATGTCTTTTTCAAAATATTCCATACCCCTTACATTCCCCTTTCCACTCCCTTTATAACCACCTTGTTAGAGACCACAAAACTAATGGGATAGTGCATCATAATTCTAATTGGCCCAAGGTGAGGAGAGTCTACAATAGAAGGAGGAAAAAGGGGAATGCTTGATTCATTCTGTTAGAAGGTTTGAGTGAGTGTTGATTGTAACCGTTCCACACTATAAGGAATGGGTAGAGGGGTTGAGAGATTATTCTCACACTGGTTCGAAGTATGTTCCTTCTTCTAAAGTCTTCTGCACATGTAAATACTTTTTTACCATCATCAGGATATTGATAATGTACACATGGAGCACTGTTGCTATTGGCCCTTTTTGTAAGTTATTCAGCATGTCCGGAACCAACTCACCAAAGTCTCGTGCTGTTGAGTAAGTATTGAGCATTGTTGCTATCAGTTACAACATGTCTCCTCACACAAGTCCTACGAGCCACCTCTCCCAAATGCTTAAGCTATTAAGTAAATGCACACATACTTTTTATATAGCATCTTTAACAAATTGTTTGTGATGACACAATATGTCTGCCTCGGCTAATGTAGTCTTTATAAAAATTGACCATGTGTAAAAACAACATGAATGAGTGCTTTATTTTTTTAGAATTGAACAAGGTTTTTCTCACATTGCATCCATGAAGCTAATCCTGGCTTATATGCTTTTCTTGAAATACAAGAGACTAAAAGATATATGAATAAACCGTGTGTTTTGAAAAGTACTACGGAGATATTATTATATATAGAGAGATTACAACTAATTACATGATATAGTCGATGTGAGACTATTCTATATACAAATATTCTTAACACTATATTTACAAATATCGACACTCCCTCTCAAGTTTGAGCATATAAGTCAAACGCACCAAGCTTGTTACATATATAATTAGTTATGGGGCTTCGCAGTGATTTTGTAAACACGTCTGCTAATTGATCATTAGATTTGACAAAGCTTGTGACAATGTCACCTGACTCGATCTTCGCTCTGACAAAGTGACAGTATATCTCAATATGTTTGGTCCTCTTATGGAAGACTGGATTTAAAGCAATATGCAATGCAAGTTGATTATCACAAATAAGTGTTATTGTTCTTGCTTCTTCAATTTAAAGTTCCTTGAACAACTGTTTTAACCAAATAAGTTCACATGTTGCCATTGCCATGACCCTATACTCCGCCTCAGCGCTTGATCATGCAACAACGTTTTGTTTCTTACTCTTCCAGGATATAAGGTTTCCTCCAACAAGTACACAATACCCAGAAGTAGATCGTCTATCAATGGGTAACTCTGCCCAATCAGCATCTGAGTATCCAACTATCTGAGTATGTCCTTTATTTTCATTTACTAGACCTTTTCCTGGAGCACATTTGATGTATCTCAGAATATGAATAACAACATCCATGTGTTCCTGACAGGGGGAATTTAAGAACTGGCTTACCACACTGACTGCAAAAGAAATGTTCGGACGAGTGACAGTGAGATGATTCAACTTTCCAACCAATCTCCTATACCTTCCTGAGCCAGATAGAGGCTTCCCTTGATTGGATAGTAATTTGACACTTGGATCCATAGAAGTATCAACTAGTTTAGCATTCAACAAACCTGTTTCTTCCAAAATATTAATATGCTATTTTTGCTGAGAAATCACCAAACCATCTTTAGATTAGACTACCTCAATACCCAAGAAATAACGGAGTTTACCAAGATCTTTTGCTTGAAATTGATTCGAGAGATGTTGTTTTAACTGGAGTATTCCCTGTTGATCACTACCAGTTATGACAATATCATCTACATACACAATAAGATAAATACACCCTTGGGCTGAGTGACGATAAAAAACAGAATGGTATGCTTCATTACGGACCATACCAAACTGTTGTACTACAGCGCTGAATCTTCCAAACTAAGCTCTCAGAGATTGCTTAAGACCATAAAGAGACTTGTGCAGCCTACACACCATATTCGATGACTCCCCCTGAGCAACAAACCCAGGTGGTTGCTCCATATATACTTCCTCTTCAAGATCCCCGTGTAAAAAAGCATTTTTAATGTCAAGTTGGTGAAGAGACTAATGTCGAATGGCTGCAATGGTTAGAAGAAGTCTAACAGATGGCATCCTGGCTACAGGCGAGAAGGTATCACTATAATCCAACCCAAAAATCTGAGTGTATCCTTTGACTACCAAGCAAGCTTTAAATCGATCAATCTTACCATCGGGACCAACCTTCACTGTATAAAGCCAACGACAACCTACTAAATTTTTTTCAGGGGGTAGAGGAGTCAGTTCCCAGATACCACTGCTTTGAAGAGCACACATTTCATCAATCATTGCTTGCCTCCATTCAGGGTGAGATAATGCTTCACCTGAATTTTTAGGAATAGAAACAGATGACAAAAAAGACAAACAAGTATACTGCAAAGGAGAAAGACGATGATAAGATAAATCAATATAATGTGGAGAAGGATTTCGTGTTTGACGTATACCTTTTCGAAGGGCAATCGGAAGATCGGACTCAGGTGTCGGGATCGGATCCGGTGATGGCGAGAGCGTCGGAGGAGAGTCTGCAATGACCTCAGGGATAGGTACGACCTTAGGAACAAGTACGACAGACATTGGTTGACGACGCTGATATGTTTGAAGTGGGCGAGAAGTGGGGGGGTCAACTGGCCTATCTAGTGGGCTAGGTTCCATAGAATGATTGGGGACACAGATGGGACTTCCGGAAGAGGTGTGAGAATATTTTTCTGAAGGGGTTCCGGAGTTGCTTGGCTGGACTCGAAATATGGAACAGACTCGAAGAAGGTAACATCGGCCGATATGAGATATCGTTGTAGAGTATGTGAATAACAATGATAACCTTTTTGGGATCGATGATAGCCAAGAAAGACACACTTTAGTGATCGAGCTGATAGTTTATCAAGACCAGGGGAGAGATTGTGTACAAAACATGTGGACTCGAAGACTCGGGGAGGAATTGGGTGAAATGGGGAATTGGGAAAAAGGATTGAATGATGGATTTTATTGTTAAGGACAAATGAGGGCATGTGATTTATAAGGTAACATGTCGTTAGCAAAACATCCTCCCAAAATCGAAGTGGAACATTACCATGGAGAAGTAGGGTCCGAGTGGTTTCAACGAGATGTTGATTTTTGCGTTCGGCTACACTGTTTTGTTAAGGTGTGTGAGGGCAGGATGTTTGATGGAGAATACCATTGTGTGACATAAAATTTTGAAATTGTTGGGATAAATATTCACGGGCATTGTCACTTCTTAAGGTACGGATAGACACACCGGATTGAGTTCTTATTTTTCGATAAAATTGTTCAAAAATAGAAAAAAATTCAGATCTATTCTTCATTAAAAATAACCATGTGCAAAGTGAAAAATCATCAATAAAAGTGACAAAATACCTAGAATCAAGAGTAGAGACAGTACGCGAAGGACCCCAAACATCGGTGTGAACTAAAGCAAAAGGGGACGAAGCTCGTTTGTTGACTCGATTGGGAAATTGACTACGAGTGTGTTTCCCTAACCGACACGACTCACAATGTAAATTAGATACCTTCGATAAATTTGACACAAACTTATGTAATTTGGAATGACTGGGATGACCTTACTGAGCATAGATAGTGAGTGGAGAATCTTTGGCTGAGCATGTCTGAGATGACAATGAGAGGTAATAAAGGCCTTAAGACTCATATCCGACGCCAATCGTCCGTCCCGAACTCCGATCCTGCAGGGTAACATTATTGTTAGTGAAGGTGATATTACAATCAAGAGAACGAGTTAAATGACTGACTGAAAGTAAATTAAATGGACAATTAGGTACATAGAGGACAAAAGTAATAGAGAGAGAAGGTAGAACTTGAACAGTACCAATTCCTTCGGATCGAGTTTGAGAACCATTGCCAGACGTTATAGTAGGTAAGAAACCAACGGTAGAGAGGGAAGAGAATTTTTTTTTATTACCAGCAACATGATCAGACGCACCAGAATCAAGGATCCAAGGTCTAAGAGGAGATGATTGAGAGAGGCAAAGAGATGAATTACCAGTATGTGCTACTGTAGCCGTAGAATCCGAGTTCTGATAATTCTGATACCACCTGAGGAAATCATCGTAGTTTGACGTAAAGTTCTGAGAAGTAGCCATAAGTATCTGAAGAGAGAAAATATCACGCGATCAGTCGACGTACGTGCTGTCACGTGCGGTTCAGATGGCGGCACGTGAGGCCCACGTGCAGAGACAGAGGTGGCGCGTGCGGGCGCGTTCGGAGGTTTCTTTTGGTGAAAAAGTTTGTCGGAAAGTTGCCTGGAATAGCAGCAACGTCGGCGGATGGCGGCGGCTATGCGGATGCGGTTATGACTGGAGAATATTGAAAACTGATGGTAGGGTCAACTTTCCTAAACGTCGCCGGAAGTTTTGCCTGAACAATAACGGCGGCAGTGGCGACAGGGTGGTCACCAGAGAATTTTGAAAAGTGAGAGGCAAACAGGAGTGACAACACGGTTTGCAAAAAATAAATAAATAAATAAAAAATAAATTTCTCATCGGAAGACAGTGGGTCAACCGGGTAAAGCACGACGAAGAAAGAATTGCCTCTTAGCACACATGTTCAGGCCATATATTGTCCGATGTGGGACTCTCTTAACACACCCTACATCTGGAGCGTGGAAATAAATTGTGGGTAACTTGATAGCGGAAACCTGATAGCAGGTGGCCCACTGGATCTTAAACGAGGCTCTTGATACCATGTTAAGAAATTGTGGTTGGGTCTAATTCAACTCTACAAAACCGGTTGGTAGAGTGAGGATTACCCCCACTTATAAACACATATTAATGCCATATATTGTCCGACACACCCCCTCACGCCCAGGACTGTACATCTAGAGCGTGGAAATAAATGGTGGGTGACCTGATAGCGGAAACCATATAAGGTGGCCCACCGGATCTTAAACAAGACTCTAATACCATTTTGAAATACAAGAGACTAAGAGACATATAAATAAACCGTGTGTTTTGAAAAGTATTACGGAGACATTATTATATATAGAGAGATTACAACTAATTATATGATATAGTTGATGTAGGACTATTCTATATACAAATATTCTTAACACTATATTTACAAATATCAACAGCTTTGGTTTGTATTTTCTGTGCATTTGACTTACCTTTCTGTTCTTTCTAGACATTGAAAGATTTCGTTAATGAAGGCAAGTCTCAGGTGGATTCTGCAACACGCCTATATTCTGATGTGGTAATATGCTTAACCATCTATTTTGGTAGATTATGCACGGATATAAAGGGCTATAAAGATTATATTATTTGTCTGCGGACAGGGTAGAAATGCAGACGCACTTGCACAGTATTTCAATGAGGATCCTGCCCGTTGTCCTTTTGAGCAAGGTAGGTTGATCATTATTACTTTTTGTTGGTATGTATCACACATATTGCCATTTTCTTTCCAATGATGACTTCAATAATATCAGATTATAATTCATTTAAATGATGTTTTGAAGAAAATGCATTAACTAACCTTTTTCGTTTTTTTACAGTTATGGTTTGGACAAAGTATATATTTTTTAAAATTAGGCTGATTTGGTAGTTTCTTTTGCTTGTCTCTGGGTTTTGGAAGTAGGCTCTTTGTATCTATTATTGTGTTCTTAATGGAATCTGCTATGAGCTACAAAAACCTCTTCTGCATATGATAGTTATTGCTGAAAATTGAAAGAAATGTGTGTCCTTGGATTATAGTTTAAGCAGAAAAGGATGAAATAAAGGACGATGATGATGAGGATGATGATAGGAAAGAAAAGGGTGATGGGAAAATAGTTAAGGAATTTTAGAATTATGGTTGGGTCTAACTCAATTCTACAAAATTGGTTTGTAAGGTGAGAATTGTCTCACTTATAAACATATTTTCAGGCCATATCTCATTAGATGTAGGGTTCTTGACACACCATCTCACGCCCAGTACTATTGGACTTGTGGCGTAGATATAAAGGGTGGGTGGTCCGATAGTGGAAACCTAAAAGCAGGTGACCCAATGGATCTTGGATAGACTCTTATACCATTTTAAAATTGTGGTTGCGCCTAACTCAACGCTACAAAACCGATTTGTAAGGTGAGGATTACCCCCACTTATAAAACACATTTTTCAGGCCATGTCTCATTCAATGTGAGACTCTTAACAAGGAATAATAATAAGATAAATGTAGAAGAAATGGGAGGACATTGATTATATTAATATTTGTTAGTATCGTTTAGGATTATGATAAGATAACATTCCTATTTAAATTACATCTCACATGTATATAAATATTTGTTCAACCCTTTTTATAGTTAATGAGATTCAAGTAGGACCAAATGCTGTTTCATCATTCCTGCACCATTTAGCAAAGATAACTTATTTGCTCAGTTACCTATTTTGTATTGCTCAAGTTAACTTCTTACCTTTTCCGATTCTTGATTGCAGTTACTGCAACTCTCTTAAATTTTATAAGGATGTTTCTCAAAGCACATGATGAGAATATCAAACAAGCAGAATTAGAGAAGAAGAAAGCTGAGAAAGAGGCTGAAATGGAGAAGAAAGCTAAGAAGGAGGCTGAAATGGAAAAGGGTAACGGAAGTAGTTTGACAAGGAAGAGTAAAAAATATAACAAAGAAGAAAGCTGAGGAAGAGGCTGAAACGGAGAAGGCTAAGGACGTTGACTTGACATGGAAGAGTGCAGAAGAGATTATTGAAGACTGGGTTGTCCACTCCTTTGCACTGACACCATTATCAGCCGGAGAGCAGAGATCTACCCGCGGGCATTAACGGGACTGCTTTTGAGGTTGAGCTAAGTGGCCTCTCTTTCAAGATGATGGTGTGGCAATTAGCCGCCCGATGTCGTTTACTGAGGCAAAACTGCGAATTCTCGCCACGTGCTGATCTTTGTACATACAAAAGGCTTAGGAGTTGATTCTTTAATGGCATGTTGCAGAATATTCGCAGAAAAATATTCTGGAAAAGCCAAATTTTGACCCAGCATCGGTGCCTGCTGAGATTGCTTGAGATTGAGAATCAATCTGCATCTAATGCACGTTATGAAGACGATGGATCTGATTCTTCAAATTACAAAGAAACTTTGAAGTGGAACATGTCTTCTATTGCAATAGAACTGGCTTCAGCTTTCATCACTCATCGGCATATTTTTCGGGCACCAAAGCGCACCCTTTTTGACTGTAAAGCACCGTAGTCCAACATTAGTACCATACAACCTTGTACAAAGTTCTAACCCTCTTCTTTAGGATCCAATTCTTTCTCATGTAACATAGAGAATTTTGTAGGATAGCCGACAATTAGATTGTGTATAGTTATCAGGTTAAGAAAAGAATTAGGAAACAGGTCTCTGTAGTGTAGCTATAAGTAAACAACAGGTTAAGTTAGAGATCCTAAGCTTACATTTATCTTGTGAAATACAATACAGGATAGTTAAGTATAAAAGCTTATTGTTTTATTCACACATTTTGGTTGTAGAAAGACACATTGCAGATTCAAAGATTTAGTATAGTTATTTATTATGGAGGTACCTCACTTGCTGCATTGGATCTTTATTTGCACCTCTTGAGAGACATTTTCATCTCTAATCTTTTCCATTATTGAACATTGTTAGAGTTATTATTTTTGTTTGCTCAGTTATTATATTACAAAAGGCTACTAGATTCATCAAAGCCAGAGCTACTTAATTATGTTTATATTTCATTCCAAAGAGTGTCTTCCATGTATTAAGTTCTTTAATACAGTTGGAATTTCTGCAAGGACCATTATTGAGGAGTGTTTATAGTGTTGATTAGTTATATGTCTGTTTTACTTCATAAAAAGAGAGTTGCATAGTATATAGACTAGAGTCCACATATCATGATATACTAATGGCTAGTGTCTTCCATTGATTTTGATATTGATACTTTAATAATTACATGCATTCTGAAATCAAAATCTAGGTTGTTAATCTCGGATAGCCATCACCACTATTATGAGCTTTAAAAGGTAAATATTTAACACGAATACATAAATACTTAAAATAGGTTCTAACAACATACATAATGTTTTAAAAACAGAAGTTGCAATAACATACATAAACGTAAACAAAAAAAATACTGCATCACATCTGTCTCATCTTTACTTCTAAGTTTCACCATATTAATATCATCTCGCTCATCACTTGATTCAATTTCAAACTCTTCATCTTCCACCTCCAACTCCTCATCTCCATTAGATACCAATGTAGCAAGTCTAGAGTTATGTATAGTAACTCTTGCTGGTTCATTAGCCCAACGACATTACCAACAAGTTCCTAAGTCAAACCCTATTCTTCCAAAATCAAATAGATGAGAAATTATCAAAACATGGGAGAAATAGACGTGAATGGTTGAGAAAGTGCATAATAATGTGAATAAGTGAACAAGAATGTAGAAGAATGGATGAGAAGGATCCACCGATGACATATTTTTAAGTTGAGAAGAATGTGGAAGAAGAAAATTTGCGAAGAGAGAAAAAAAATTAGATCCACCACATGTTGATTTGAGTGAAGAGAGAATTGAAAATGACATAAGGCATCACTAAGAGTCTTTATACTAGTCAAGCATGTGAGTGCTTTTATATTTTGAGTGATGTTAAAACTAGAAAAGTATAACGTTATGTATATTGGACGGTATCCTCCCATTCTTTATATACCTCTTGACATTAGGAAGCATTTAAATCAGTTTGAAAAGGAGTTAACATCATATGTGCATTAAAAAACATGTTTTTGAGCATTCAAGCCATTTTAGGTCAACCTATGCAAGAACAGACCGACCTATACGAGCCTCAGCTTCAGTATAGGGCGACACATGGATCCTTCAGGTCGGCTTTCATGGAGCAGTATTAAAGCCTGTAGGCTCTTCCCACAGGTCGCCTTACAAGCTGCCTGATAGGCCGACCTATGACCTTCATAGGCTGACCTGAACAACACGCATAGGCCGACCTATTGTTTTCATAGGTTGACCTATATGTTTTTCCTATCCAAAAATTTCAGTTTTTCTCCAATTTTTTGCATTCCTTTTGCCCATTTATTCACATACCTATATATACTCATACATGCGTCTTCTTCTAGGTAAGGTTTTCTAGTGAATAAAACCTATATAAAACCAGATTACAAAGTTGCCCATCATCTTCATCCCTTCTTCTATGCATAAACACAATTGAACTAAACATAATCATTTTTCGATTAGGTGACCATCTAAATTAGGGTTGATAATGTCCAATTAGGTTTGGTGTAACCGAGAATATTAGGTTGAGAACTTTGTGTGTTTCAAATAAGAAAACCGAGATGAGGTTTTCCTTAAAGATCAGGTTGGTTTGAAGGTTTTAGACAAGATCATATCAACACAAATTTGACTGAGTGAAAGCCTTGGGACAAGGTGGTTTCCTTGCAAGGGAGTTGTTAGAACACATATTGGTTTTTAGTTATATCTCTATGTTTTGATGATAACACTTACGAAATTTTGTATTAAGAAATTATATACTCTAAAATGTGTTTAAGTATTTTTGCTGCAGATATTAAATTGAATATACTTCTGAAAGCAAAAATGGATCCGAACATGGAACTATGCAAGGCTCTGAAGTGTCAGAAGCATCTATTAGAAGAATCTGAATGCTGCCTACAGAAGATTCAGAGCGCTGCCTACAGAAGGATCTGAAGCAGAAACTACAGAAGCATCTGGAGCATAGTATGAAGACTTTGTATGAAGAGTTTCAAGCACAGTTTTTCAGAAGACTCTGATAGTACTGTACGCCGCAAGTACTGAGGATCTGATCCTAAACTCTGCTCTAAGTTATTACACGCTGAAGCACACTTGCTGCAATGCTCTGATACAACAAACTCTGATGAACATCAAAGACTCTGATCACTCAAGGCTCTGATGTTATTTGCTGAGAATTAGAAACTTGTTGAAGAAGAATTCAAAGTTATGTCCGTTGGTTAGGCCAAACGGCTCTTTCCTCATTTATGCTAGACACAAGAACTCAGGAAAAAAGGATTTCTCTGAATGTTCTACTTCTAGGAAAGGTCAAGTGATGTGAAGACAAAAAGGTTCCAGCTACTTTGCAGACACGGTCTTCAAAGCATGCAATGTCTTGGATTTCTAAGCCTATAAAAGCAAGTCTCCAACACTCTTCTTCAGTAGACGGATGATTGAAAGAAATTCATTGAAAAGCTCTCATACAATTTATTCTCTTTGCTGAATTTATTTCATACGTTCTTAAAACTTAAGTGTAAATCACAGTTGTGATATAACTTACTTAGAAGCATTCAAACACTTGTTTTAGTTTTACATTTGATTGTAAAAGTTCCTTGAGAAGACCCAGTTGTGGTCAGTAGTTCTTGAGAAGACTAAGAACAGTTGCTCTTAGTGTTTGCTATTGTAATCAGTTTGATTAATAGTGGATTAAGTCCTTGTGGAGAAAGGCAAATCACTCTGGATAGGATGGACTGGAGTAGTTGAGTGCAACGAACCAGGATAAAAATCTTTATGTTTTTTATTGCCATAATATTTTCTCTACTTATTCAACCCCCCTTCTAAGTATTTTCTCACCTTTAGTTGGCATCAGAGCTCCGGTTCTGTGTGTGCTACCACTTCACCGTGACAGAAAAGATCTAGTGAGAAAACTTTGATATATATTCTTGGTTGTTATTATGGCTGAAACTTCAACATCTAACAGCAACAACAGATATGAAGAAAGGGATAGAATCAGCACAAAACCCCCTATGTTTGATGGAGAGAAATTTGACTATTGGAAGGACAGAATAGAGAGTTTCTTCCTTGGTTATGATGCTGATTTATGGGACTTAGTCATTGATGGGTATGTTCATTCCACTGATGGGGATGACAAGAAAATTGATAGAAAATCTATTACTGAAGCCCAAAAGAAGGAGTTCAGAAATCTTCACAAAGCTAGAACAATCTTATTAAATGCAATATCTTATACTGAGTATGAGAAGACCACCAACAGAGAAACTGCATTTGACTTGTTTGAGTCTTTGAAGATGACACACGAAGGAAACTTACAAGTTAAAGAGACCAAGGCTTTGGCGCTAATACAGAAGTATGAAGCGTTCAAAATGGAAGAATCTGAATCTATAGAAACTATGTTCTCTAGATTCCATATCCTCACAGATGGTCTAAAAGTGCTGGACAAAGGCTACTCAACTGCTGATCATGTGAAGAAGACCATCAGAAGCTTGCCCATCAGATGGAGACCAATGGTCACTGCTCTGAAGCTAGCTAAGGATCTGAAAAAGATCACATTGGAGGAACTAATCAGCTCACTGAGGAGCCATGAAATTGAACTTGAGGAAGACGAGTCTCAAAAGAAAGGTAAGTCAATTGCCTTAAAATCTAACAAATCTGTTAAAGCGTTGCAGGTGTTAGAAGAGAGTTCTGAAGAGTCTTCTTCTGAAGAAGAAGATGAACTGTCCTTGCTGTCCAGAAGAATCAACAGACTCTGGAAGCACAAACAGAGGAAGTTCAAGAACTTCAAGAAGCCAGATCAACGCAAGGAGTCCTCTGGACCAAAAAGATCTGGAAAGAAGGAGGTTGTTTGCTTTGAATGCAAAGAACCTGGCCATTACAAGAGCGAATGTCCAAAGCTTCTA